GAAAGAGAACAAGCAAAGCAATTTCCCCATAGAAAGTGGTCAGATGAACGCCTCTAATTGGCATTCTATTATTACATTTGTACCACGCTTCCCTATGAATTTATTACTTGGTTTCTTTTTATTAAACGCCCATGAAGATCTCATGAGGCATTACCCGATTTAAATCATGATGAATAAGTGATAAGGGACTATATTTAGAAGAATGGATAAGCATATTAATTTGTGAGAGAGGACGGTCCCGCAGCGGAGGCCTGCCGGCTGGCGGCTCACTCCAGCTGCCTTGCTCTGTGCCCGGATCAAAGCGTTGCAGGCTTCCCACTCCACAATCCACGCTCCCACGGCGCCAGAGACCTTGGAGGCATTGACATGAGGACAATCCAATGCTATTTGCCTCTCTGCTGTTCAGATGGAGCCATGAGCTAGTCACGAGTCCCTAACGGCAGGCACTCAAAGGAACAGGAAGGCTGAACAGCTACTGAATTTGCAGCTAAACCGTGGGTGACTCTGGAGCAAGGCGTTCAACCCAAGCCAAGGAAACTGCACGAGAAACACCCTGGTCTAGACTCGCATTGCGCAGTCTAAGAAACAGGGCGAGTGCCCAAGATCTGCTTTGAAATGCTGGTCAGGACAAGCTGGGAGGAAGAATTCGGAAAACCAAACACCGAGATAGAGGGTGGGATCGTTTCTCTGCAAGAACTAATCATCCTAGATCTGAAGATGACATCTTGCTAATTGCAGATGATTGAAAAAATGCAATTTAGGATTGAAGAGCTAAATGAAGATGCAAAATAGAGACTATGAAGGAATGTATAATTGCCACTGTGCAGCAAGCAGCTCTTCTAAGGCCATCAAAAAGTAATGCAATACTCCTCGGCTCTTCAATTTACATCCAGGCAGCTGTTCCAGTAGGAATGGGACGTGCTTTTGCCTTTTCCATACTACAACCACGGGGGAAGGGGACACTAGAGCACTCTGTAGCCAAGGAAAGGGATCGATCCCAGCATCGCTGTCCTCCTGGGTTCCTACAAGTGAAGACAGCCAGTCAGAAAGACCATTGTCTCGCCAAGTCAGTAACCAAGTGCCACACAGAACCAAGATGCTGGTGGGCAGAGGGGTCCTACCCTGCACTTCCACTGATAACACACTGACCGACTCACTCCAGGTCAGAGAAAAGGAGCCTGCGACTGAGTCTGCAACTGAGCCCAGGTCACCTGAACCCCAGGGCACCTTTGCCACAAGGCCATGCATGCTGTCCACGAGGAGGAGGGGTTTGGGGAAGCGCTGCATCCAGTTACTGCCCAGCGGGGACTTTTATCCTAGCCACAGGGCTAGAAGAGGTGCATGGGCCAGCAATGCTGTGGCTGCCCAGCCTCACCTTCCAATGACCTGCCTGCCAGGTCCAGGCTCCTGGCAACATAAATGTATTCATACCTACGGAGCTTATCCCGAGGGTGCTGACTTTCTCCAGAAAAGAACGGTGGAAGACACTACGTGCGGCATCACGTTATACCGAGTTTCCATTCACAAATCAAGCAAGTACACACCAGAGGAGTCCTGCCTCCTGGCTGACAGGAGCTGGGTGTTGCCGCCTGGGGCCAGCGGGGCCAGGGCAGATCAGCTCATGCAGGGATCTGCCCCCCGGATCCCAGGGTGAGGGAGGGTCCCTGCACAAGCTGATCTGCCCCAGCTCCCGTCAGCCAGCAGGCAGATCGGGGGCCTGCAGCCGGGAGGGCTGCAGGGGCTGTGCCGGAGTCCACCCGGGGGTGCGTGCCCCCTATCTGCCTGCCAGCTGACAGGAGCCAGGTGCTGTCACCTGGGGCCGGTGCCCACACCCATCTTCCAGGCACTGGGTGCGGGTTGCACCCAGCGCCAGCCTGTCATCCGGCAGGCAGATCGGGGGCCCGCAGCCCCGGGAGGACTCCGGCACAGCCCCCGCAGCCGTCCTGGGCCCCCAATCTGCCTGCCTGCTGCATTTTATGTTTCCCCAAAATAACTTATGGGCAAAACCATCGAAACAGTGCCGAAACAGTAAAACAGTTTCGACGAAACGAAACAGAACGGTGCTTTCGAAATGAATGGAAACGCAAAATGAAACGCCGTTCCGTCGAATCGCCAAAACGGAAGTTGAATCACAACGGTGCTGTTTTGCACAGCCCTGCTGCTTCCCGCTGATTCTGCATCATCCTGATTTATCCCCCCGCCAAAAAAGTTTGGACTCCCCTTCAGCCCCCCGAAGTATCTCTGTAGCGGATGGATTTTAAGCTTCATTGCCAAACAACAAGAACGGTTTCTGAAATCTCCCTGCATGCCATCTGACACCAGCAGGGAAGTAATCCTGCCTGATCTGCACAAGAAAGAGCAACTCACAGAGACACTTGCATGGACCCAGAGGGACAGACTTCCATCTTCAACTCTCTCTGTGCAAAAATTAAGTTTATTTCCCACCTAGGGGGACTTTTTAACCAGCTTTCATTTCCCCTGAGCCAGATGAAGGGTGAAAGCTTGCCGAAAAAGACTTTTTTTTTGGCAAATTCTTACTTGGTCTAATAAAAGGTATCATCTCTGAACCAAGAGTGCTAGATTTTTGCATTTGTCTCTGTAACTGATGACACTTTTTATACCCTTCGCGTCTGAGCTCTGCCGAGTACTTCAGCCTGGAACCATTCCCAAAGCTCAAATGCAAGTGTATTAAGAGAGATTAGTTCGTTAATCTACTCTTTGGTCCCACATCCCTTTATCATTTCATTTTAATAGTTCATACTAATTGACAGAGCAGATCCTCCTCAGGTCTGGGAAAGCTGGGCGATTGCTTAAACCACAGCATAAACATTTTCACTCGGAAAGACCTCATACATTATGCTCTCGACATCCCTCCGAATGTTTGGAGCCCGCAAAGAGCTCCATGCCCACTGCCCTTGAACTCCATGCAAGGATTGGAGGTGGTTGGTTTTCCTCCTTCACAGGTCACTACTGCCTGCTTGCTTTTCGTCTAACTTGGAGCCGTTGGAGTGTGGACAGGTGGCGTCCCCACGCTGCGCTCTCACAATGCCCACACGGACGTGGATTAGGAAAGACTATTTTTCTCAGGGATCTCAGTGGGGCAATGTGCCTTGGTGAGACAGCCACCCCAGCACGCTTCTCATCCTAGCTTTCTGGTTTGGGGCTGCAAAAGTTCAGCCTGGATATGCATGAAGGCCCGCATGCCCCTCCTGTTACCCTGTGTGGGTGTCTCCCTTAGCCTTAGAGAGAAGCTCAGAATGGCTTCTCTCGCTGTCCCTGCTGTCTGGCGAAGAGACGCTTTCCTCTTTGCCAGGCTCTGTATTTTTCTCAGGCAGTCTCACACCTTCTGTGCAACACATCTGCATCCCCTGCCCTGTGCCTATTAAGGATTTGCCTGGATTTCAAATCTTTTCTTTGCCTTACTCATTTATCCCTGGCCTTTTTGGAGAGGAGAGGGGCGTTCGCCTCCTCGGTGGACGCTGCTTTACTAAGGGGACTGATCTGCATCCAGCGTTCCCGATAAATAAGAGTGCAGATGACTGGGTGTGTGGCAAAATCGGGTAAATTATGAGTCACGCAAGATGCGATGACAATCGAGCACTCAGACCATGCTGTAAATTCACGCAGAGCTTCAGAGAACAGAGCCAAGAAACATAATGACCTTCCCCAAAGAGCTCACATGCTAATTAACACAGATAAACATGAGAGAAGCCATCAGATAACAGGAGGACTGGGGGTTGGGGGGTGGCCTTCCAAAGGGGTGCAATTAGGAGACAAGGCCCGGTCGTTACACGGTTAAATTAGAGCCCGAGCTCCGTATAAGCTTTATCACAGGAACAGTCCCCGCAATTACGGTGTCTCACACCCAGGGAGGGTTGCAGGACCACCCCGCACCTCTGGGCCAGAACAGGAAGCTCATTACTGAGCTGCAGGGGCCCACAGCAAAGGGCAGGAGGTTTCCTGGAAACCAGGTCCTGGAAAGCCCATTTACACCTGGCGGCACTACAAAGCGTTAGACAGTCGGCTTCCCATCAGAGCACCAAACCGCACCAATGAAATCTTAACAAGGGTTAAGAACAAAGTCAAGAGCATCGCAGACAAAATCCAAGCCAGCTGCAGTGCCTGCGGTTCGAGTTTCTCCACCTCTTTTCTGCACCTGTTTGGGCCGAGATGACCAGCGCAAGCACCAAACATGGTACCAAAAACCCCCCTCCTGACAGCATTTGTGACAGAGTTGAAACTTTGAGGACTGGAGATGTCCCAAGAAGCCCTGTTTCCTGAAACCAGACCGCAGAGTGACTTTGAAAGTCTGCTTTAGAACAAGTCTGCTTTAAAAGTTGCCTTCTCAGGCTGGCAGGTGAGCAAAAAACAACCGTCGCACTCCAGATGCACAGGACAGTCATGTGGACCTGACTTCATCTAAGCATTTCTCTGCCTGTCTGTACCCACCGGTGCTGATGTTTGAAAAGCGGGTGAGCCAGTGGTGGCCCTCAGGGGTCCGTGCTCGGACCGGTGCTCTTCAACATCTTTATCAGTGATTTGGATGGGGGAGGGAAAAGCTCGCTGGCCAAGTTCGCGGATGACACCAAGTTATGGGGCAGTGTGGCCACGCCAGAAGATAGGTTGCATGTATGGGTGGACCTGGACAGGCTGGAGAGCTGAGCGGACGGGCACCAGATGAAGTTCAACACTCAGAAGCGTAAGGTGCTCCATCTGGGGGCAAACAATCCCCAACATACCTACAGACTCGGTGGTGATAATTTGACTTGCACCAGGGGCAAAAGGGACCTAGGGGTAGCGATCGACCAGCGCGTGAACAGGAGCCAGCCGCGCGATGCTGTGGCCAGCAGGGCAAACAACACGCTGGTATGCACCCAATGATCGACAAGGTCCCTTCCAGCCCCTAAGCATCTCCGAATCTATGAGCATTCTCAGGTCATGGGCATGATGGGCTGACAAAGCGCTGCTGTTACCTACAACCCAACAGGAAAGGTACTCACTTGGTCTGATGTTTGGAGCCCTTCAGGTGAGCGTGGTACTGTTCTATTGAGTTCAGCGTGACATTGCAGATGTTACACGTGTAACTGCGCTTCAGACCTGCGAACAGAACCCAACAATTCAGTTAGCTGAGCCCCGTTATCAATGCCGCAAAGCGGCAGCGACTACAACGACCTGTCCATTTTAGCATGCTCTGAAGTGCAAGCCCGAGACCTGACAACGGAGATAAAACCGTGTGTTCCAGAAGTGGCACAACCTGTTTAAGAATAACCTACTTTGTGCATGCAAATCAAAGGAGAACTCTCTCATCCTGCCAAAAACTAATCATCAGGGGAAAATGAGGACATAATGCATGGGAGAGACGCTGAGCAAAGGATTTATTTTTCAAGGACGACTCGCCATTCTTCTTTTGCTCCGTCTGCACTCCACACGTGCCCTGGCCACTGTCTTGCTGCACATGCTTCAAATTGGGCCTGTTGTTTTCAATGGCTAAATGCTTTCTAATGCAGATGAAGCCAGTGAGAGCATGGAGCAGAGGGGAAGATCAACACCTTTCAGTTTAGCTTGTGGGTAAGTGCCTGCCTGCTGTACAACCTACCATTGGGCATCAAAATGGTAGCTGGTTGAAAATAAGGACCGTTTAAATAAAATCCAGCGCAATTTTCATGACTGACAGCTATTCACACCATGCGTCTCTCTGAATGTTTCCAATTTACTCTCTGGATAACCTGTTCCGGTGTTTTACTACCCTCCTAGTGAGACAATCCGTCTGCATGTTGGCTGCTGGGTGCCCCTTCAAAGCTGTCCCCCCGCTTGAGTGTCTGAGCCCCTGAGAACAGAGACCTGGGCTCTTGGGCAGGGCTGGCCCACCTGCCCAGCAGACTGACTGCTAGTTGTAATGTCTGTCTGGAGCACTTGATAACAGTCCACCACTCAAGGCAGTTCCTGACATGCGGACATCAGCTTTCACTTTCATCCTTGCAACACAAGGTGCTGGCCGCCGTACCGCTGAACACAAAACAGCATCTCAATGGCTTGGCATTGTGAAGGCTGCCCAAAGACAAAGCTTTCGAGAAGAAAAAAAAAGAAATGGCCACCCATCTATTGGCTGCCTGTTCTGCGCCATTTCATTTTGTATTTGATTGCTACAGCAAGGTGTTCCTTTGTCAGGAAACGCTGCGTTTGACTGGGAGGCGGCTGCTGCAGGGGACACGGTCTGCAAAAGCAGCCGTCCAGTTATCGGAGCCAACAAATGCAAGCAGCGGTAGCGCGAATGAGCGCGCCAATGCAGACCCAGCTGGAGTAGCGTTCAGGTCCAGCCTCACCTACCTCCGCAGGCAGACGCTCTCTCAGAAACACTTGGCACAGCGATGGAAGCAGAGATGCTCAATGTCCTGCTGCCTGCCCTGTCCTCCTCGCTGGGGAAAGGGCCTTTCCTTCACATGGCCCAGAAAATCAGTATGAAGAGCACACTTCCTGACCCATCTCACTGCCCCTCACCCCAAAACAGGCACACGCCTTCCTCATCTACTTTGTCCCTCCTGTAGCACAGAGAAGGGCCTTGCTTTCAGCTGCTGTGCTGCCCTAATTTAGTGCTCTGCCTCCAGGCTCAGACGGCCGGGCAGCAAGGAGGCAATTCAGTGGGCTCCTGCACACTTGCTACCAAAGGAACGGCACGATGCAGTACGAGCAAACATCACAGCGAAGGTGTGTGCACGGTCCAGAGAACACCCCCGAGCTCAAGAAGCGGCTACCCGCTGGGAAACCAACCTGCGGCTGGACCCGTCGCCAGAGCTGACCTGTAAAGTGGGTCTTCAAAGGCCCTTAGAGGGAGGCCCTCTGATGCTCGCCATCTCCAGGAGGTATTTACTTGCTCCTAGCAAGCGTGCTCAGAAGACGAGGCTGCATTTTTATTATGATTATAAATCGGGAGCCATGCACATGGAAGCAAGACAGCCAAAAATGTGCAATTTAGCTCTGAAGAGATTTCCGATTGGATCGTAAGACACCTACAGAATAACACAAGGTCTTACAAAGGCAATCGGGACTTGGTGTTACACACACAAGGAGGAAGAGGCTGATATGGGGACACCCTAGCCACTTTTTCTTGCTTTAAAAGAAAAGAGTTAAACAGCCGTAAGGTTAACATAGCTACTGCTGCATCAGGGTCTGATGCCAATATTCCTCTAGACCAAGTGCTTTCTGAGACGGCCCGTTCCAGCACCGCTTCTGCAGCATATACGTTCAACCACAGGCTTCCCAGGGTGCTGAAGGAAACGGACCGTGCATACAGATCACATTTGAATCAATCCCTGGGATCACCACAGAAATGCAGAGAAACTGATAGCCAAAGGCGCACGTCAAAAGCGTGGCTTTTCTTTGCCGTGGGCATCCTGTTGCCCACCGTGGCTGCTGTTGCTGTTCAGTCCTGCACAATTGGCAGACAAAGACCGAGCGCCCTGGAGAACTCAAACCCCAAAAGCAAGTCCCTCGGGGACCGGCAGCTCTGGGAAACAGACAGGCCACGATGGGACATGTCTCCCAGGACAGCATGTGGCTCATCAGCCCCCCACAACAGCCGACTTCACGCCTGATGTGTGTCAGTTCAGATTCTCCGGAGAACAGTGCCTTTTCCTCCAAGCCACCCGCATTTACTCCAAGCGCTTGGCATGCTCCCCTCCTCTCCACAGAAAGCAATGATCTGTCAGGCACCGCTCAGGCTCTGTCATTACTTACACACTAACGTTCCTCTTGTGCCTTGCTAGACAGGCCTGTATCCCACACACTCTTTGGTGACTGCTTACAAGTGCAGGAGAAAGCGATGTTGCCGGGGAGGTTTCTTTAGATCTCCCCTTAGTTTCTGACATTGCAGATCTCCGATGATTTGTTGTTCCATTCTCTTTCCATCCCTGAGCGATTTAGGCCAAGAAATGGGGCGGGTGCTGGGGTCTTTGTCTTTTGCAGCAGAAGCTAAAAGCCTGCACAGAACAATAAGGCCACCATGACAGCTGCTCTCTGCAGTGATAGGATACCCTTCACCGGAGGATGTCAAAGCACTTGCTAAGCGTTGGCACATCACAGGCTCCCTCTAACTCTGTGCTACATACGGGGACACCGAGAGGCTGGGAGCGCAGGGGGATTTGCCATCGAACGGCAGAGCAAGGAGGAGAACGCAGGAGCTTCTGTGCTCTGGGCACGAGACAGCAATGGCTCCTTGCCGCTTCTTACCATGGGGAAAGGGCACACCCCAAGAGGAAACGGGGCCCTTTTCGGAGTCCCTCTTCATCCCTGGCACTCTAGACGCCATTCCCCTCTGGAGCGGCAAAGCGTGCAGGTCTGCAACGGTTTGGAAGAACGGCAAGCATCAGCCCTGTCGGAGCAGGCTCGAAGAGCAGACAAGACCGGGGCAAGCTGCAACTCCGGTTTTGTGCAAAGGGACTCGCCCGTGACAGCAAGATGCTGAAAGCAAGAGCTTGCCCCTGCTTCCACACGGCCTCCCGAGGGCTTGTGATCCCAGCACTAGGCAGGCAGCTGGGCTCCGGTAAAGGGAAGGGCAGGACGATGGAAAGCCTCTTTCCTCCAGCTACCGCCATCCCTAGCGGCTGGAAGGAACGTGGAAGGAGAGGGCCATGCCCCTGGCAGTCGTGCCTCCTTGCCCACTCCCCTGAAGCGGGAAGGGGTTTCTCTGCACTCTTTGGCCCGCAGCACTGAGGTGGCTCTGGTCCTTCAACAGCAACAGCAAGACCCGAGTCCCAGGCTGTAACATCTGTGCAAAGCTTGCAGGGGGCACAGCAGCCACAGTGCTCCCCCACGCATCTGATGGGCCAGCAGTGGGTAACGCCAGAGGCTGGGGGTTACACCACAGTCATTAGGGCAGGCACGGCCCTGCCTGCGGATGACAGGACACAGGACAAAGAAAGGACTTGCTTGCTTCCCAGAGCCCAAGCTGTTGGCAGGGTGGAGAGGTACAAAAGAACCAGGTCCTGGCTGGCAGAAATCCAGCATGGGGCACCAAGAGTCAACGCACCGGGGTAGCCTGCCTTTGTCCCAGAAGAAAGGACAAAGGCTCCTTTGTCTCCGCAGAGTTCAGGCCGTTCGACTCTGTTGTTCTTGAACCTTGGGGAAGGGATGTGCTGGCTTCCAAACAGATTTACAGGAACGGTCACCTAAGTGCTTCCTTTAACATCTTTTCTTTGAACAGACAGAGGGGAACTGAATGCCCGATAAACGCTCGTCTCCCTTGCAGACAATCTCGAAAAGGAGATGGTAATCTCAGGGTTTTATACTGCAAGCACAATCCTACATAAATAAAATAGAGAAAGACCCAGTAATTACCATCGTCCCTAGTTTGTGGTCCCCCTTAGTATTCTGTATGGAGCAGAGTAGCTTTTTGCCCCCCCGTCTCCCTTTCTTGTGTACGTTAACCACCTAATAACCCCCTTCATATCACAGATCGTGCTACCATCGTTGACGTTAAACATACCTCGGCATTACAATAAACTGCTAATGCTAAAGTAATTTCGCGTCCGTTCTCCTGCAAAACAATGGGATTGCAAATTACAGACCGCCCCTGTGGTTGGGTTTCTGTTTCGCAGCAACTCACTCGCGTGAAGGTTTGGAGAGAGCATTTCAAGCTTAATTGACGAGCTCTGTTTAGAAACACCAGGGCGGTGGGATTCTTGGATATGGACTGCTGCACTTTTTAAGAGCCTTTTTAATGTACCGTATAATAGTCTCTCTCGACTTGCCGTGGTCTTCTTTCTGCACAGGCACAGCTATACAAATATGCGCTCCAAATGCTTAGAATCCATTACCATCGTTCATTGAGAACATGTAATATATGGCATCCTCAGCTGTAGTCTCTTTAGGCCTAGCATAATTAATTGCCTAGGACTTTCCCCCATTCTACAGCTGCACTTAGAGGAACCTCTACAAATAACTCTTAAAAAATCATTTCATTCCTTTGAGTTAGTTGCCTTTTCAGCCCACATTTTGATCCAGTCTAGCACTGATCACGGGCCTAAGCATTGTGGCATCTCAGCGAGACGTGTAGCCACCCGACCAACTGTTCTGCTTGGAATTAGCAACCCCAGGCCAAG